TATATATATATATATATATATATATGTATATATATATATGTATATATATATGTACATGTATTTCAAGTATAGTCTGTGGTACGCCCAATATGCTTATTTTCACTACGGGCGTGCTTTCAAATGCGATACGCAGATATATGATACAGCCAATCTTGAGTCATACAGTCCTATTCGCCATAGCAGACTCCCTTTCCACGTAGTCTTACACTCTTGCCGTCGCCGGTACGTCCACCGTTGCATATTTAACACTACCCACTACCTCCCTCTCTCTCCTCCTGCCGCAGATGGGTCTGGGTAAGACTCTCCAAACCATAGCCCTGCTCGGCACACTCAAGATGGAGTACAACATAGGCGGACCCCATCTGGTGGTGGTGCCCATGAGTGTGCTGTCCAATTGGATGACCGAGTTCAAGCGCTTCTGTCCGTCGCTGAAGACACTCCGCTACCACACCGCATCCGACGCGGAGAAGGCGCTTATGCGCAAGGAGATTGCGTACAAGAGCCCCCGCGGACTGCTCGATGTGGTGGTGACTACGTACGAGGTTGTGGCGGGTGAGTTTCGGCGCGGCCGGTCCGGTCTGTTCAGTCAACGCTGGCGGTATGTGGTGGTGGATGAGGCGCACAAGGTCAAAAACCACGAGAGCCAGATCTCCATGGCCTGTCGGACACTCACCCGCAACCACACACTGTTCCTGACGGGTACACCGCTACAGAATAACCTCAGCGAGTGCTGGGCGTTGCTCCACTGCATGCAACCAGACATCTTCCAAAAGGCCGATGTGTTTGACAACGCGTTCGATGCCAGTGACGTGACCACCACCGATCTGGCCCTGGTAGACCATGTGTGGCAGCTGCTGAAGCTGCTGGTGCTGAGACGTAGGAAGAAGGAGATAGACCTCGCCCTGCCACCCAAGCGCGAGTTGCGTCTGCTGTGTCCGCTGAGTGAGCAGCAGAGCTTCTGGTACAAACGCCTACTACTGGCCCACGCACACCATCTCGCGTCCAACGGCCACGATACGGAGAAGGCTGCGGATGAGGAAGGGGAAGGCAGAGAGCCTTTGCCTAAGCTCAGCAACCTGATGATGCAGTTGCGTAAGGTGTGCATACACCCGTTCCTGTTTAAAGGGGCCGAGCCCGACGCCGAGGACACGACCGCGGACGAGTTGGCGGCGGCCAGTGGTAAGCTGCGCATGATGGACCGGTTGCTAGTCAAGCTCAAGGCGGAAGGGCACAGAGCGGTGATCTTCTCCCAGTTCACCCAAATGCTGGACCTATTGGAGGACTTTTTGTACCTCAAAGGGTACCGGTTTGTCCGGTTGGACGGGGGCACCAACCGCATCCAGCGTATGATCAATATCGGGCAGTTCAATGCGCCGGGCTCGGTCGTCTTTGTGTTCCTGCTCAGCACCCGCGCGGGTGGGTTGGGCGTCAACCTGCAAACCGCAGACACATGTATCTTGTACGATAGTGACTGGAATCCCCAGGCGGATCTGCAGGCCATGGCACGCGTGCACCGGATTGGCCAGACCAAGCCCGTGACTATTTATAGAATGATTATGACTGGCTCGGTGGAGGAGCGTATTGTCGCACGGGCCCAGCGCAAGCTCATGCTGGACGAGTTGGTCAGTCATGGCAGCGAGTCGGTGTTTGGTAAGCGGTCGGATACCACCACGGCCGAGACGGCCAATGAGAGCACCATGCGACGTGCACTACGGTTCACCATGAAGCAGATGTTCAAGAGGGATGGTGGGGCTATTGTTAGCATGGATAAGCCGGTGGGCGACGATGTCCTGAGTGACGAGAATCTGGACAATCTTATAGAGCAGGCACGTAACCAGACCGAGGATATGATCGCCGATCGCGATGCCGAGGCCGCTGAGCTCGAGGAGGACGATCCCAACGACAACTGCTTTGCGGCGGTGGCGGATAGCCACATCAAAAAGTTTGACAACAAGGTGTACACCGTCAGTGAGATCTACAAGGGCGCCTCACTGAAGTCCATCCGCCAGGAATGGGACAAGAAGAAGCTGGTTCTGTCCGGAAAGCGTGAACGGGTGGACCGGTGTGTCATGGTGGACGGGGGGGCTGGCCTGGGCAAACGTGTGGCCGTGCTCAGAAATACACAGTACGATATCAGCAAGGGTTTGCCTGGTGTGTACGATGTAGGGGGTGAGCTCTATGGGAAGGCGCTCATACCAACGCCCAAGAAACCTTCGCGTCTCGTGGCCGGGCGAGACTATGATAACCTGGACTTCTGCCAGTGCTGTGGGGTGTCGGGCGACCTGGTCATGTGTGATGGCTGTCCTAACTCGTTCCATGTTAGCTGTCTCGGGTACAAGAATAAGGCCCATTTTGACCGGGAAATGCGTCACGGCAGGGTTGCTATGGCGTTCCGCTGCCCCCACCACGAGTGTGCACAGTGCGGCAAGTCGTCGGTCCGTGCAGGCAATCTGCTAATCAGGTATGCATAGACGGGACTAACATTGTTGTAGTTTGTGTGTAGTGATTTCGTTTGCGTGTGCGCCCTGTCAGTGTGCGTATCGCGTGTCAGTGTATGTGTGTCAAGTCGTCGATCCGTGCAGGCAATCTGCTTGTCAGGTATACATAGACGGGATTAAAATTGTTGTAGTGTACGTGTGTAGTGCTTTCGTGTGCGTGTGCCCTGTCAGTGTGCGTATCGCGTGTCAGTGTATGTGTGTCAAGTCGTCGATCCGTGCAGGCAATCTGCTTATCAGGCATACATAGACGGGACAAACATTGTTGTAGTGTGCATGTTTAGCGATTGAGTGTGCGTGTAACGTGTCGGTGTATGCGTGGCGTGTCAGTATATGTGTGGTATGCAGTGTGTATGTAGTGAATAAGCGTGCATGTAGCGTGCCAGTGTTTTTGTGGTGTGTCAGTCAGTCTGTGTGTTGTGCGAGATGTGTTTCCGTGTATTCGAGTTTGTATGCATCTTTGTCTGCGTATCTGTACTGTACGTTTGTGTGAAAGGATATGTATGTGTACGTTCCCGCGTGTATGTATGTATGTCGCAACAGCACAAGTGCATGCGAAAAGCAGAATTATATCATACTTACGTGCAGGCATTAAACGGAGCCAGATTGCTACAATGGGTGTGCTCTGCAGTGTGCCTGTATGTCCCCGCTCACAGTAATGTGATACACTTCAAACGCACACACAGTATAGTACATTCTCATTCACCCAACGCCCTTTCCTGCACTGATTTCGTGAGCCTAGGTGCATTTTTTTTTCGTATCACTTGCATTGATGTGCGTATGTGTAGTGATGTGTTTGTACTTTCGTGTCAAATGCATTGATGTACGTGTGTGTAGTGATGTGTTTGTACTTTCGTGTCACTTGCATTGATATGCGTATGGAAAGTGACGTATTTGTACTTTCGTGACAATTGCATTGATGTACGACGTACGTGTGTTTTTAGACTTGCGTGTCAAATGTATTGATGTACGTCAGTGTAGTGATGGGTTTGTACTTTCGTGTCCCTTGCATTGATGGTGTTGACCCCCACTCGATCTCACCTTCACAAATGGCAATCATTAATACTATGCCAGTGCCCTTACAAGACCTCTGCACAATCTAAAACTTCGGTGCACGGATTGGATATATCAATTTTGGAGGTGGCTTGTGCTTGTACCATCCTTGCAGCCTTGTAGTACACTCTCTCTATTATCGTTCGGCCTTGTGCCAGCCTATTAGGATACCTCCAACTCTGCTATACCCGTTAGAATAGCTCCATTCCTGTTGTACTCAATGTACTCACGCCCACTATCTCCCTCCTTCAACCCCTCTTCTGCAGATGTGCGGGTTGTGCGAATGCGTACTGCGAGGACTGTGCCGATTGGGATACGCTCAACGTACTCACTGACCAGCCCCCTCTGCTACACCAGAAGCTCGGGTTTAATCTGTGCAGGCAAGCGGCGTATGTGCATTGTTCGCCTGCGTGCACACACGCCTACGAACAGGCGGAAGAGCTGTACATTGACTTGGCCCAGCCCCCGGACCCTCAGGCTGTGGTTGTGGTGCCAAAAGATCCCACACGCAAGGCACGCAAGGCCAAGAAAAATGGGGCTGCCAGGGCCAAAGCTGCAGTGACCGAGAAGAGAACAATCGTCATTGATGGCTCTTCCGAGTCCGCCGATGAGCTGTGCATGGATACGAAGGCGCCGATGGTGGCGCAGCAGTGTGGAGACGGAGATGTATGGGGTTTTAATAAACCATCGATTGTAGGTAAGACAAAGGGCAAGGGTAATGGATACAAGAAAAAGACCAGCCTGTCGACGGCGAAGGGACTGTCCAAGAGGAAAGTCCCACAGCAGCAGACTCTTCTGACGCAAAGCACGCGTCAAAATGCTACAGATGCCGTGGTGCCGAAGGTGGAACCTCAGACCAAGGTACCGAACTCTGCGGAGAAAGTCCCCTCAAGCGCTATCAAGACCACACGCACAACACGCTCGCGCCTGGTGACACCAGCCTCACAGCCTGGCCAAGCACGTGCGGGCCCCCCGGTGTCTAGTTATGTTGTGGCCCAGACGGAGGACTGTCGTCCCCCTACGTTTCTCCATCAAACACGAGGATCGGGGGGTTCAGCTGCATTGTCGTATGCAGGACAATCAGTTATAGGACAAGTGCCTGTACGACAATCGCCCGCACAAGGCAGTGGGAGGACGTCGAGTCGGCTCCGCTCGAGAGAAGCGAGCGCGCTGCCTGTTGTGAGTAAAGGACCTTTTGTGTTTAGCAAAGATACGCTCGTTGCTAAGGTCGAGAATCCGTTTGGTATGAAGCAAGAGGGTGCCGTAGCTATGGATGCCCAATCAGTCCATGGTGTGCCGCAGGTGGCGGCGGCGGCGTTGTGAGCGCGAGATTTAATTTGTATTTAAGTATTTGGTATTTGTTTTAGATTTGGTAATTAAAGGATTTGTACATGATGCACACTTATCGTCAGGGAATCGAATTGCCTACAGTGTGTCCGTTGTATTCAATGTGGAAAGCATCGTATGCCTTTAGTGCAGAGCGTGTGTTTTCTCAAACCTCGGCGAGTGCTATGTAAGCTATTAATTACAATCTGCTGCTCTTTATATTTGCTGCATACACCGATTTCGTATACGTATCAAGCGGACTACTAACGGTCGGCTGGGCGTTGGAGGGTTCAACGAATGAGTTCACACGAACGCCAGAGGAATCACACTTCCCGACTGTATCGCGCTGAGTACCATCTATTCGAAGACCTCAAAGCATATACCTCTACGCCAGTGGCATCTCAATTGCTGTGTTTTGTGTAGCGCCAGTGGCCGGATTGGGTGCCGTGATCGTTATATTCGTCATCCCGAAGTAGAATTCGACATCAACACTTTCGTCGTCGCTACATTCGACCCGCACCAACCCGACTTTCTTCATCGTTGGATCTTTCACTGATATCGGGGGCTTATCGCTAAGACAGGCCCAAATTTCAAATTCAACTTCCTTCTGTCCTGGATAAAGCGGACAAAAGTTTTTATGCGTGACCGTCTTTTCTACTTTCACTGTTTGGTGTCTTTTAACAAACGGAGTGTTGGTGTCGTGCGCCTCCATTTTGTCCAAAATGTGATCATACTCCAGCATGTGGGCAGGATATTCCATAGCCCATTGCAACAACTCGCTCTTTGACTGTACCACAGGGATTCCGTCCAAAGAACAGGGCACCAACCACCACGGCGGTAACTGGGTCTTAGGGTGAACAACTTGGGTCGGCATAGAGGCGAATAGCTGCTCAAGACGATCTCGAAGGATTGTGGCAGTAGAGTAGCCTCCTGCAAGCAGCACATACTTCAGCCCAAGTAGTTTGTCATTCTTCAATAGCAGCTGAATGTGAGCAATGATTGCTCGAATTGACTGTTCAAAGAAACTCTCTGCCAGCTTTTGAAATATGACCAAACGATAGTCTCCCTTGGGTGTGACATGGTTGGTATGCTTTCGATTGTAAGCCTTTTTGAGGGCCTGCAGATCTAAATGGGGATCGAACTCAACCAAGTATATCACATTGATCTGAAAGTCATCGAACTTTCGGGCCTCCTTACCGAGAACAAACTGGCGCGTTATATTCAGGTGCTCAAACGGGTGAACTGCCTTGAAGCGATCATAGGCACTCCCGACTAGCTCGCGTAGAAACTTTTCAAATTCTTGGTCCACATAAATTCCACCCCAATCGCCCCCAGAGGGTCATAGCAATCCTTTCCTGTGAGAGTAATATCGGAGAAGTGTTGCTCATACGTTAAGTTTTTAGAGGATCAGGCAAAACGAATATGGAGATTTAGACACTGGTATTAAAATGAAGATCAGACAGTGTCTGAGCAGCTACAGAAAATCATGAGGAGTATCGAAAGCCAAGTTTTTTGTACTGTTTTACTTACAGTTCAACGGGTTTCTCTGCGTAAACGTTGTAGGCCGCTACGTCCACTGTACCACCCCCGCAGTCCAGTACTAAATATCTGATTTCTTTTTTCAATACAGCTGCTTCCTGTGTGGGGGTGAGAAGTAAAATAGCAATCAGCCCCGGATCACAGGTGTTTGTATAGGCAGCGATTACAAGTTATATGAAACTATTCTTGATTACTTCATACATGCCGACCAAAATATAATTCGGTAATTGCACACTTGCTGGCTCATATGCTAGAAGCAGATGAGTATCTTCCACGTTTGATATCAACCCCGCATCCACTGCAGCCTTGCGCATGGAGGTTTTGGCTCCATCCGACCATATAGCAGGAATTGTAAGAACCCACTGCACATCCGCCGGCTGGAGACACAGGGATGTCTGATTCTGTATGATTTTCAGTGAGAAATCTTTCAGGTACTCGTTGCTTTTCACAACAAAAGTTCGGACGGGTAACCGGAAATGTTCATCCAATGCTACTGCTTCAGGATTTTCCTCGCGCGGATTGAACAACTGCATTTTGTAGTGGGTAAAACAATGTAGATTTTCTGAACTACCATCCTCCACTGCTTTGAGATAGTCTCTCTCGGCAGCTGTGCCGAAATTCAGTACTTTTGAAGAATGATTCACAAGCAGACATGTCTTCGTTTTAGACCTCCCTTCTTCTTCGCCAAAAGCTGCAGGTGTTATGTTCCGCTTAGTGCCATAAGACTCGTTGCTTTCCAGCTAATAAGCAATACCGCTGTATGTAGTGCCGAAATCTATAGCGACCGTAGCCTTTGTCGCAGGTATCGGCTGTGGCACTGTCATTGTTGTATTTAATATGAATTTTCTCATGGCCTACTTAAGAACTATGAGGCATACGTTACATAAGCACCTAGATTTATACTAGGTTTGTAAAGATGCGGATTTAATAAAAATTGAATATGCGTAAGACGCATATCACCACGATACTCTGTGAATGGTCCAATATCACGGCTAATGAACATGGAACACCGGTAATTGAAGGCAAATAGACCACGAGAGAAAGATCGATGCTCTATCTGACTATCGGCATCGATAGCGTTCGCTATCTGCTGGTGAGACTCAGTGACACGATCGCGAACATCAACTCTAGAATTTAAAAACCATTGCCGATATGCTTTCCAAATCACGGCAGGATCACTTATTATCATGTATAGAAGGGCAAATACATTCGTTTGGTCACATGTTTACACCGTGGCGAACATGCATAAGGCAGATCTTTCCTCCTCGTACACAACGTTTCAATGGTAGCAAAATACCAATTCGACACGATATTTCGTTGAATTGAATCCATTTTACTGATGATTATGCTGACCTGCAATGCTTCAATAGTAATCACACATCGTATATAACGACACATACACTTATGATTCTTTGACATTTAGTCTGGCAAGATGTTCTTGGGCATCATCCACCAAATATACGCGATTACATCAACTACCCAACAACACAGGGCGACTGAGGCGAGTTGTTGCCGCTTCTTGGCCTACTTTGATCCCAAGAATTCTGTTTCTAACAATATATACCGCACGTACTATCCTGATGAATACTTGTATGTGTACTATATAGCATTTGCAGGCTTCTTGCCAACTAAAACCTCCGCTGAGTTGCCTATAGCGAGATTGACTAAAGAAGGTGGATATGACTGGCTGATCGTATCTTCTGCGTAAGAGCGTGCCTTCGATTCTGCCGTTTGTTTCACTTCCAATTGTGTTATGAAGGGAACTTTGAGTTTGGCAGTTGTTCACCAGCGGGCTCAGAATCGTCAAATTTGGCTGAAAGAGAATGTTTTTTCTTTGAGCGACTTCCACTGTGGCATGATTAAGCTTCATAGCGACCTCACAAACTGCCAAACACAGCTGCAGCAGACGAAAGATCGGAACTCGCAGATAGGTGTGCAAGGGAGCACATTGATGTTTGAAAGCGTTTGCATCTATGTTCAACACATGATTTGAGTCTACACGCCTATTTGTTGAATTAAATTGATACGAAACTGTATGATACGAAACTGTAAATCGCTGAAACATCATCATCGCAGAAGTTGATATTGTGGAGCTCAGATCAAGTCACAGAACAAACATCAATTCGCCTTTTCCACCCTGGACATACTTCGAGAAAAATCTTTTGGATCTTGGCACCTAAATGGAAGGTATAGTATTTGAACTCGTGGTTACAAACAACGCGCACTGTGTGAAAAACACGCTGACGGAAGGTGTTTATTCAAGCGCAAAAGACCGCGTAGTGAGTACTATGAGTTCAATGAAAATTTTGGACCAAGGCGGCGTCGAAGGGAGCGTTGAGATTTTCAAAGCCAGTTGGGATAGCATGGAAGGTCACAGCAAGGCGAATACTCCTTGAAACCTGGAACATAAGCTATCTATGTTACGTCTGTGGGAAAACAAAGCAACTTATATTCACCCAGTAATGACTTACTGAGCTGCAGATTTAACCCCACTAGGCACGACGCAACTGCAAGATCTTACGAACGCAACATGTAGTAAAGGTGAATCAGGAGTGTGTATACATCTCGCCTGGGCTGATAAATCGAAACGGCAACGTGCTAGTCAAAGCGAAGGTCGTTCCCCTTACTTACCTGAACGCCGTAAACTAACCCCGAGTACAGTCTGCACATTGGCAAATGTACTTTAGGACAGATCCCGGTTAAGGGAGCTGGAGTTGTGTATCCACCATGCTACATCTGACGAAGTCGAGAACCCTCGCAGCACACTACGTGGAGGAGAATTCAGTACATACCCATCAATTAAAAAATCGCATGCACAGGCTTTTCACACCAAATATAATCGTATTTACACCAAATATAATCGCAATAAAATATGAATATCTGTTTTGCATTTTATATTCAAGGTCGAGAACTCAATTGATATGAAGCAAGAGGGTGTGGTGATTCTGGACGCCCAAGCAGTTGATGTAGCGCCCAAGGTGATCACGTTAGTATTAGTATCTGAATTAGTATTCGTTGATTAAATAATTTGTCATTAGACTCTTATCTTTATCGGATCTAAGCGCACGGCGGCTGGTGTGCGGTGCATCTTTCTATGGTAGGTTGTTATTGGGGGTATCTCAACTGTTGCATACCGTTTGTATAGGACCGAAAGTGCTTGTATTTTTATTTGAGTTTTGACACTTGTGAACGTTACCTGTTCATTTTGTGGGGTCGTAGTACTCGATGCATGACAGATTATGAGCATCAGGCAAAGATCTAGCGAAGTAGAGAGGTTTGGTGTATCGATGATGACCAATGTCTACCTCAGATACATCGAACTGCGTCGTTGTAAATGGCCTACTTTGCATTTGCAAGATCGCTTCACATTTCATGTCAATTTCAACGAAAGTAATACGTCTACGAGATTCATACACAATTTATACTAGATGCACACAAAGCGATGAAATCAAACGATAAGGAATGTATGTATGTCGGCCATTAGTTGTCTTACTTTCGTCTCATATCAAACTGTGTTTATGTCAATCAGCAAGACCCACAGAGCACTACTCTAATTAAACTGTGTTTATGTCAATCAGCAAGCCCCACAAAGCACTTCGCAAGGCCACTCTATTATTGTTCCCAGTTGCGCTTTTTGGACTATCATTCACCTGTTCCTTTCAAATTTATGCGGTTTGTGCCCTCCGAACACAATGCTGCAAATAACTCGACTAGTACCACGGAGGCTAATGCACGCACACATACACGAGTAGATAATCGTAATCGGGAAGCAATTACAAGTAGTGTCATAGATAGTACTGTTGAGGACGTTGACGCTGACACGTGTGGGGTTACACAGATAAAAGAAGTGAGAGAAGTCGACGTTGACACGCACCCATTAGATGACAACTATAAGACAGGGGACGTTCTCCATGTACGACGTTACCGTGCACATACGGTAACGTCGTATGTGCACGGCAAAATAATGGGATTACTGATAACAACGCGAAGCTACCGCAGATTGTCGACGATGCATCGTATAGTGATGTGTTCATGCATTTGCTATCTATGGACTTTGTTAAGAATATACTTGTGCCAGCTACCAATCTCTCATTGAAGAAAAACAACAGACAGGAGATAGACGTAGATGAATCCTTTACGTGGCTTGCATTGCGACTAATAATGGCCAAGTATTATTCCAAGAAGGTTAACGACTTCTGGGATCTAGAACGAGATAATCCAGACACTTTGCCGTACTTGGGTGGCTTCATGAAGGTCACAAGATACAGCGACATACAACGTAATGTAACACTTAGAATGACGCCGGTAACCCAGGCAGAAAAGAACGACAAGGGGTATTATATGCGAGAGATTGTAGAAGCTTGGAACCGGAACATGAACTCACATTTCTACGCGAGTGCTAAAGTGTGCATTGATACTTCCCCATATTTATTTTTCACTTCCCCATATTTATTTTTCACGACGGACCTTTGATTCAAATTTTCGCCTCCGAAACGTAAATCTCGGTGACCAGTAGGTCACCAGTGTAGAACTGAATACCACTTTCAAAAAACCCACAGACCCCACCAAAACGTTGACTTGAAATTTAGATTTTCAATCAAATTTTTTTTTTTAATTATATATATATATATATTTTTTAATGTCCAGTAGGGAGTCTGGGGACCCCACAGTCCCACAGTCCCATATCCGCGAAAAATGTCGGGCCAGGCCGAACCCCCAATTGAGACGTTCGGCCCCAACGACTCCTTACCCAATGACCAATGGAAATTGGACATACAAAAATCTATCACAAACCTCTCTGCCCAGGTCAGTACTCTACAGGCCAATCTCAATCAAATTTTGGGACCGGCTCTAACAACCTCGAACAATGATGGGCCCATCTCCAAGGAGCCTTTGACTGATGACCAATGGAAATCAACCATACACCAAATGCTCACTAACCTCTGTGCAAAAACAACCAACCTTGAATCCGAACTCCGGGACCTTAAATCCCAAACCCGTGCACCTATAGATGAAGACACACCCGACACTTTTCCGATTTGGCTCCACAAGCCCGCCTGTTCCGCCTGCAAAAAGACCACGGTCACAGGCGCCCAATAGCAGCAGTGAGCCTCCCAGCTACCGCTCAAAAGTGGACAAACCTGCAAAACCGAGCCCTAAAAAACGCCCGACCCCATCAGCTTCTCAGTCCCAATCGCAGCCGCCAGTACCCGAACACCTTTTGACAAAAGTGGTGGGCCGCCCGATACCGGACAAACCTCTTCATGAAATGGATGACATAACTTCGGTATGGCTCTTCTTCAGAGCAATTTTCCCTAACGGCAAGCCCCCATCCCAATCAGTATTTGAAAAATACTGGCATGCCCAACCAGCCCTCAATCGCCACCACTTTCTCTGGTATCTTCCGTCTAAATCGGTATCTCAACCAAATCGCCCCGGAAGCTCCACCAGTTTCATCCGCCTTTGTGTTCCTAGCGACTCTGTCGCCCAGGTGAAACGACATACAGCCCTTACGTGGAAATGGCAGCTTGATGAAAACATCGACCCCCGCTCCCAACAACATCCCGACGCTACGAAAGCAGCTTTAATTCACTATCTCCGCACCAAGCGGGAGGCCCGCTGCACACATGAACGAGCGTCAAAAATTCTTTCCCGCAGCATGGATGCACTACTGAGCCCACTTGTCAACTCC